CCAAGCTTGCGAGTTCTTCTGCAGGTTGATGAGTCAGATGTGCAAAGAATTGGCACTTCGGACATTTCTGAACAAAGTAAGTGGCATCTTTGTACATGTTCGGCCAGTAGTATCCTTGTCTTAAGACTTTGTGAGCCAGAGTTCTAGCACCGACATGGCTCCCACAGACACCCTCATGCACCTCTCGAAGCGCGTATTCAGCTTCATAGGGACTTAAACACCGTAGGAGAGGAAGTGAGAAAGATCTCTTATACAGGACTCCATCAACAAGTGTATACCTAGATGCTTTCTTCCTCAATTTAATTGCCTCCTGCCTGTCCTCAGGCATTATCCCGTCTCGTAAGAAGGAGACAATTGAATCAGTCCAGCTTGGCGTGTCAGGATTTGTGCTAATCTCCATCACTCGAGGCTTTATGAAGCTTGGTTCATCTAAAACTTCTACAAAAATAGATCTGGAGCTTAAAGAGCTATCAGAGGCAAACTTGGAGAGTGAATCTGCCTGTTCGTTCTCAGCCCGGGGGATTTTACTCAGATAGAATTTCTGAAATTTGCACTTCAACTCGGCCACTAAGGCTACATACTTTACCATCACAGGATCAACGACTTCGCAAATAGAGTTGATCTAGTTTACCATAAGTTGGGAGTCACTATACACTTGAATTGCACTGATTTTCAACTCTAATGCTAGTTGTAGGCCGAGTAGCAGAGCTTCATACTCAGCCATATTATTTGTCACATCAAAGTTGAACTTCAAAGCATGTTCACTTCAATAACCGTCTGGACCAATCAAGAGAGCTCCAGCCCCTGAACCTTTGCTACTAGATGCCCCGTCAACATATAAGGTCCATTCGTTGGGTTCTAGAGTAGAGGTTGAGGGACATGGGGTGCATTCAACAACAAAATCTGCTAATGCTTGAGCTCGGATGGCCGACCTCTGCTGAAACGTGATCTCAAACTCCCCCAGTTCTACTGCCCACTTAATTAACCTTCCAGAGCACTCTGGTTTCTGCAGAATCTGACGGAGGGGTTGATCTGTGAGGACGATGATTGGGTGTGACTGGAAATATGGTCTCAACTTCCTGGCCGAAGTGACAACTGCTAGTGCTGCTTTCTCAGCTATAGGATACCTTAGCTCTGCTCCGTGCAGCACACTGCTGATATAATAAATTGGTTTCTGCTGTCTAGCTTCTTCTCTCACCAGAACTGAACTAATAGCCTCATCTGAAATCCCCAGGTACAAGTAAAGAAGTTCGCCATCTACAGCCTTAGTCAACAGAGGCGGCGAGCTAAGATAAGACTTCAGCTCTTCAAATGCAGCTTGGCATTCCTAAGTCCATTCAAATTTCTTCTGTTTTCCTGACTCATCCTTCTGGGCGGCCGACCTCATAATTTTGAAGAATGGTAAACACTTATCCGCCGATCTGGAGATAAATCGATGCAGAGCTGCCACCCTTCCAGTCAACCTCTGTATATCTTTAATTGACTTCGGCGGTTCCATCTCGGCAATTGCTCTGATCTTCTCTGGATTGACCTCAATCCCCCTTCGGGACACCATGAAACCTAGAAATTTGCCAGACTCCACTCCGAAAATGCATTTGGCTGGATTTAACCGCATCCTGTTCTTTCTGAGGTTGTTAAAGGTTTCGTCGAGGTCGGCGAGATGGTCTTCTGCTTTGAGGCTCTTTACCACAATGTCATCGACATATACTTCCAGATTTTTGCCAATCTGAGCGTGGAAGACAATGGTCACCATTTTCTGATAAGTAGCACCTGCATTCTTCAAGCCAAACGGCATAATGACATAACAATAAATTTCATCGCCAGCATAGAACGCGGTTTTCTCTTCATCTTCTGGAGCCATTGGCACCTGGTGATACCCCGAGTATGCATCCAAGAGGCTTAACCTCTCATTGCCTGAAGCCGCTTCAACTAGTTTGTCAATGCTCGGCATTGGATAGCAATCCTTGGGGCAGGCGTTGTTAAGATTTGTGTAATCAATACACATTCGCCATTTGCCATTGGCCTTCTTCACCAGAACTGGGTTAGCCACCCATTCACAGTAATCAACTTTCCGGATAAAACCAGCTTGTAGGAGTTTCTCTACCTCTTCTTTAACAGCCTGAAGCCTCTCCCCCCCAAAGAGACGCCGCTTCTGGGCCACTAGTTTCTTCAACGGGTTAGTACTGAGCTTATGTTGACATACTGAAGTTGGAATTCCTGGCATATCTGCCGAAGTCCACGCAAATACATCATTGTTAGCTCGGAGAAAAGCTATCAGTTCTGCTCTCTCCTCCGGGTTCAATCTAGTTCCGATCTGCGTTTTTCAGCTTGGATCTCTGTCATCAACGAGCACTTCTTCAACATCTTCGACCGGAGCAGCTCTGATTTCATCTTCCGGTCGATTATCTACGATCTCAACACCCATAACTTGCTGATTATCAGAAATTTGCTGAGGAATGGCTTCGGGAGTCTGAGCTTTGCC